TCCCTACATTATGTTCTCTCAGCATGGGCTTCTCTTGATATATAATCACGGGTTTGATTGCTTGGTAAGCACTATTTTGAAAAAGGGGATGGATTTGACTGAGGAACATTTGGGAATTATACTTAACATTAGCAGCCTGATTTACTTCTTATAAGGGTTTCTTATAACACTGCCTTATTTCTGTGGTTACTTTGCCCATTATTTCACACTCCCAGTTCCATTCTTGAAATGAACTGTGGCTGCTATTAGAAATACTTTAAACATCTCAAATCCTATTTAGTTCAAAAAAATAATAGCTAGCAATACGCTGTGGGTATGTTTAATTGTAATTGCAAAACTACGCCCACCTAATTAGAGGCCAGCCTGAGGCAAGATTTGAACTGAATCGAAATAATGGTCTGATGTAAATTTAAACTAACTTTATTGAACTGAATGGATTTCCAGGATTTGTATCAGCCTACAGACTGAACCTACTGTGGTAAGTAATAATACTTTTAGCAGAAAGTGGAAGGAAATATCTCTTCTTTCTACCTTTCCTAGGCATATCATTTAAGTATTATATGGGGTTGTAAATGGGAATGGATCCAACTCACAGAAAGTGTGATCTGAATTGCAAACAGGCAAACAGTAATTGTTCTAATTCAGCAGGTTTTAGATGAGCACTAGAAATCAAGACCATATTCAAAGCAGCATGAACTGCCTGCATTAGACAGATTTGCTGGAATAGCTAGGGCAGCAAGCCCTCAGCTATAAATGCGCAATTTATACGAGGAAGAGAATTCCTAGAATGAAATAAATTATATAAGCATTGGGGATTATGGATAACTATAACATTTACATTATATCGTTTGCTCACTTAAAAAAGAATAAAACCTATAACCTGGACCAATATTGCTAAATAGACAATCATTCTACTGCAGATGTGGCATCCAACTTCAGAAGCTAAGTTTGGACCAACTGAGTGCAGGTTTTGAACCAAGCTCACTGCCAAATGCAGTTTGAGTCTGGTGAATGATATAAATCTCTGCCTGGGCTAATAGGCTAAGACTATGCCTTACCACAAGCAGCTACAGAGCCCTGGCCTAGAAACTTCTGCTTTTTGCCCTGCTTTTAGCTCTGAAGGCTCTTGGACTAGTCCTGAGTGTGTACTACACCACTCCACCTTGGTTCCAGATGTCAAGGACAGCAGGATTCGTCTTGGATCTGTCAGGCCTTTTTCCAGGAGGAATGGGGCTTTTAAACTAGTTTGAAGCTAATGCTTTATGCAGGTTGCTACCCAGTCAAAGAAAGTACTTACTCAAGTGGGAAATGGCTGATGAAGTCATGTAAGGAGGGGTCCTCTTGGACATGGTCACCTCCGATACAGCAGCGTACGGGGGAGGTAATGGAAGAGAGTGTGACATGGGCTGGCTCACGGGCTGCGGGGAATGACAGGGTGGGTGCGAGGGCTGCGAGGAAGCCTGGCTAAAGCACCCAGGAGGGCTGGCTACCAGGGATCTGGGCAGGGCTTCTGGGTGCCACAAGAAGGATCCATCCACACTTTGTACCTGGGTCCTAGAGGAGCCTAAAGGAATTTGTCCTGGAAGTGCTGCTTCAGGATAGCCATTTACAGGAAGGTTTGCTGAGGCTTCCTGACTGGTTTTACCTGTGGATCCTCTGAGCCTGTCACTCAGGACAGGTATCACAGGCAGGATGACAGGAATATGTGGCTGCAGGACAAAGCCCTTCTGGGCAGAAGGTGCATTTGGGATGGGAGAAGCAGAAGACTGAGGAGGGTATGGAAGAGAAGAGCGCCTGAGAGGCTGGCGAGAGATGAAGGGAAAGTGGGAAGGAGGGGGTGGTGGTGGAGACAGCGAGATTTGCTTGATGTTTTGCGTTACAGTCCTATGGTTCGGCCAGGCTGGAGAGGAGGAACTTGGGGATGGAGTCAGCTCAGAGGCTGAATGTCTGTGCAGAAGCTGTGGGGGCTCTTTGGCTACCCTGGGGCATCTGAAAGAGGTTTTACTAGTGGGGGCAGCAGATGCTGAAGAGACAACTTTGGCATAGGGTGGTGGAGAAGGGGCAGCACTGGCCGAGGCAGGAGCACTGCAGTTACTGTAGCCAGGAGGAGGAGACTGGTGGTGAGAGGGGGGAGAGCACTCGCTTAGCTGAAGGGTGGAAACTAAAAGAACAGAAAAATGAAAAGAATCAAATGGACATGCAGCAAGGAATGAAAACAAGGCAAAGTGGCATGGAAAAAAAAAAAGAAAAAAAGGAACTGCGGAACTGCAAAGTAAATGCAAACAGAAAGTCAAAGCAAGGAGAAGATGGTGCAGAAAACCACCAGTTCTAGCGGTTTCCAATGAACTCCAGAAACCAAGAGCTGTGCAAATCCTTGCAGCAAAAGCCACACTTTGTGCTTTAACACTTTTCTGAGGCCTACACAAGGCTGAGTCAGGACAACGGGCGCTCCTGCTGCTCCACCAACAGCAGCGAGTGACGTGTGGAGCACCGTGACGCTCGCGACGCGGAGCCGCTCGCCTGGCAGGAGCCCAAGGGCATCTCGGTGTCACCCACCCAGCACCGGACGCCCGAGGGTCAGCCCAAGGAGTGCAGCAATGTAGGTAACTAGGCCGTCCGTGCATAACTCTGAGCTGGACTCAGGGCAAAAACAACTAAAAAATTACAACATCTGGGAAAAAAATTGAAGCGTTTTGCCAGATTTAAAAAAAAAAAAACTCTAACGCCCCCAAAAAAGTCCAAAGAAAACTGTCGTGGTTTGACTTCTGCCTTCTTTCACACAGGCAAAGCCACGCTTTGTGGCTATGAACTACTCCTGTCATCTCTCAGCTTCATGCAACTTAATATGCCATAGAAGATTTTCGTAAGCTCATTAAATATATATATATATTTCCATTACGCTCATACATGGCTCCTCACTTCATTATTGCAAAATCCCAACTGATGAAAATCCTGGGCTAGATTTTCTACTGCGCTGTGTTTGGCTTCATGTTGCAGAGCGATGCAGAGCCCTGGCCCACACAGACAGCCCCAGTCAATGATGTGCCACGGGCTGTGCTCCCTGTTCTCCCTCGGGGTGGGGAAGCAGCCCCTCCAGCTCCCACTGCACACCAAAAATGCCCCTCGGCCACACCAGTCTTGCTAGGTGCAAAATCTGCCCAGCTCCACCTGTGCACCCAGCACTCAAGCCTCTGGAAACAACACACTGTCCAAACACATTTAAGTCCCTTTCTGATAATGCCTTAAACTATAACCATGTCTTCTATAACTCCCCCCTCTCCAACCACAGCTAGAGGATGCAGGCAGGGAAAGGAACATATGTGCCTTGTTTCCATGTATTTGATACTTGCCTGTGGTAGAGGTTCTTCTTTCCAGAGATTCTTGGCGCTGTTGCTGCTGTTCCATCACTTGTCTGGAACAACAATGAAAAACCCTCAATCACTATGTATTTTTTATATTTTTTTAGTAGGAGCTTTATACATTGGGACGCCCTCAAGCTGTAAGTTTTGAGTGGTGTGAGTCAGTCCCTTGCAGAAATCCAGTTTCTGAAAGATGGACCTGGAGCCATGAAACTGGGACAAGGTCCTGTACCTGCAGGATACAGCAAATGCTTGTTGTAAGGGCTGGTTAATCCATGTGAGATAATTTACATGTGGAATAGTCACTAAGAAAGTACTGAAGCATCTCAGGTCCCAAGAGGATGGAAATTAGGCAGGGAGTTAACTGCAAGGACTTCCAGTGAAGAGTAATGGATGCCTTGCACAAAACAACACATTACTGATGCTTTTACTGCTCTGCAGCCAAAGGACCTGCCCCTGATCTGTGCTTAGCTACTCACTGCACAACACGGAGCTGCACAACAAAACCCTTTGTTCATTCAGCAACACTCTGCAGGTGAGCAAGTTCTTGGGTAGCCTGGCTGGAAGCCTGCTCATGTAACACCCCAAACCAGCTATATCTGCTCAAGGGCAGCAGAGCCATGAGAAGCAGGGCTCCTGCGTTTCCTTGATAAATGCTCACCACAAAACTACCTCGCTGCTTTGCTGCATCCTTCCCATCATGGGTTCTAGTGCCATGGTTAACCAGACTGGCTTCGTGCAGGAAACACGCTCTGCAAGGCACTGAACCACCACGGAAAGGCGTTTTCTCAGGCTCTGCTTCCCTGAGATGTGCAATTCCAGTATCTCTCACCAGAGGTCTTCTCTCTCCCGCTGCAGCGCTCCAGCAGGTATCGCTTTCCCTGCTACCCCGATGATAAACTCTCCCTGACACTTAGTTAAAAAGATTGATAGCTTGAAACTAGTGCACTTGCCATAGTTTTTGCCACACACATGGATATGCACTACAGATTTCAAGGATACTAATACACAATTCTGAAATTATCTCCCTGGAGCTCTTGGTAATAAGATCTGTTCTAATGTTCTTCCACGATTTCGGGCTAGCCTTAACTGACTTCACAATGACTTCTTTTTTTCCTGCAAAAAACTTATTTCATATTCTGAACACTATAGCCAGCTTAACTACAGACAACACTTCTATTACTCTCTAGGTAATACAGCATTTTAGAAAGGTCTCCCTGTTGCATTTTTGTTTACTTGTACTTTTAAACAAATTTTAAATAATTTTATTTTGTTTATTTATAAATAAATGTTTTGATGTAAAAAAGGCCAAAGAATAAATCCCATGTTATGCAGGAAAAAAACAATGTCTTGGTTTGCAAAACAAATTTCCGACATTTCAATCTTAATTCAATAGAAGAATCAGGAAAATCAATGATTATAATTATGAAGAGATCAATCCTAACTGATTTAATGTTCAAAACATGCAAGCTATAGAATACCAGCAATTTCTGGAAAAACATTATATATATGTGTGTGTGTGTGGGAGAAGATTACTACATGTGCAAAGGGGAAATAGTTTTGAGGAACAGTTTTAGCAGGCTGAAACTATGATGTACTGATTACCCTGGCTGCCCTAGAGTGACAAAATTTCAACCTAAGAAATCTTTCCTTGAGCACATCTCCTGGCTCCTGTGTGCTGATCACCTGGACAGCAGCATCAGCCACCCTGCTAAGATTTCCATTGTACAAACACACATCAAGAAATTCCTTAACACACCACCCTCTACAAGAGCTTGGCCCTTATTAACAAGCTGTGCAGATGAAGAACACCCTGCCACGCACATTCTCCTCTTTAAAGCTGGGGAAAGTCCTAGTTCTATCTGGAGGACAGACTTGGAAAGCTCTGCCCTGAGAGACCCGGAAAGCAACATGGGATCGATGTCCCCTGGCCGCCAAGGGCGCTGCGGAGCAGCTGCTCCTCGGAAGGAGGGTTAACCTCGGGCACTGGGAAGTCTTTTGGGGTCATGCTCGTCCTGCCTGCCCCTGGGCAGATGCCGTTTGTATGTGCCAAGCACGGCCTCCCACACACGCTAAAACGAGAAGTCCTTGCACTCCTAGGAAGTCACATCTATTCCAGTGGAACTAAATAAAGACCCAGATTTGCACAAGACTGCTTAAAGAGCATACAAAGAGTAAAGTGGGAGAGGGGACAAACTGAAGCCTCTTACTTCAAACATATAATCCTCACACGTTTGTATAGAGGTATTTAGAAAAGCCTTTTAAAAGGACAGATTTTCAGGGCAGTTGTCAGAATTTGGTTTCCTTGCCTGCATCTAATATATTCAAAAAAAGCTAGGCCTAAAATTAGGTCTGCTATATGCTTAAAGACTGCATTAGCATAATTAAGGCTGAAAATCCCTTAGTGCAGATGCAGCAACATCTAAGTGCATCTACTGGCATAGCTCATTCCAGTCCAGTGGAGTAAAATAGGCTTTCCCAGGACCACGTGCCTCATAGCTGTGGAATTAATACCTACCCATTGGCAGGGCTTTTACTGTAACTAAAGAAAAAGAATAAATAAAATCATTCTTTTTTTTTTTCTAACACAGTTAGGTTGGTTGCACTTTAAATACAAGATGCAGGTATCTAAATTTGAGGTTTGAGGTTCAGATGGTTTTAACATTCATTACTGTCCACAGGCTACACCAAGAGCTGAACCAGGACTTTCAATCCCACTGCAGGGACAGACTGCACCCCTTATGTCTCCATGTAGCATACAGGTGCATAGCAGCATTTCTCTTCTGATCTTTATGACAATTTACCTACCCAACCTTACAAATCCTGAGTGAAATATTCTTATCCTCTGGCCCATTTAATAGCCTCATATAAATCCCCATTAAATCTCAGGCCATTACTCATAAAAGCAGAGGCAACATTCCTCCCCATACTTTCTGGAAGAGGAAAGACAGAATCTTACAGAGGGCAATTTCTAACAGCAGTTAAAGTATCTATCGCAGCTTACATAAGGGTCATGTCTTAACTGGCCTATATATGGTTTTGTATAAGGACTGGTCAGATTGGTAGCTGTGGAGCATCAACCCAAATTACATGTTGCATCACTTATCTCTACTCTGCTCCAACATCCTCCTGAGGAGGTGAGATGCTCTAAGTCTTGGCTGCACATTTTGTGGCAGAATACTCTGCAGCATCTCTTGTACAGCTGGAGAAACGCACTTGTAGAGAGCAGGAAGATGGGGAACAAGGGCCCTTTTCCGTGCACTAGTCTAAATCTCCACGAGGAAGCACAGGCATAGCTAGGCTGTGTTAGTCATGACACAGCTGATGCAGCGTCGGCAGACTGGTCAGACTAGAAGACCTGGTCCAGAACTTGATAGATTGGTCTTACGGTTGGCAAAGAAAGGCAAAAAATACTGCTGCAACAGGGATTTCTACTGCTGCTAAAATAATTCCTACAGCTGTTAAAGGAGCATTGACTGCATCAGCAAAGCTGAAATGAGAAGATGGGCATCGTAGTTTGATTATGGAGATAAGTGTACAGTGAAGGCTGTTCACAACTCTGCCCACCTGCTCTTTGATGTCAAAGAAACCACCCATACGGCTAGAGAAAAGCCTAGACATTCATGGGAAGATGAAGGGGGTATGATGGATGCTTCCCTGAAATCCAACTTAAATTTACAGTTTTCATTTACTATCCTGGTTTAGTGTAAAACATTCACAAAAGGAACTGTGCACAATGCAGGAGGTTGCTATACACAAAACGGGCCAAAGTTAGTACCAGGAGTGTAGTCCCTAGGATGCTTCCTGGGCAACATGACTGTCAACTGCTAGCAAGTGATCCAGAATAAGATAAGATTGGGCTTCCTTAGACGCTTGAGAAACACATTCTACAAATTGCTTTCAAACAACTATTACGTTTATCTCTGAGCATCAGCACAGCTCACGCTTGCCTTTGAGGAAAGAGTTTACCTAGGGCTGCAGTTCATTTCACCTTTTGAAAAGTCATTACAGAATCATTAACTAATTATAGAAAACTCAGTATCAGCATAAAATAGATAAGATTAAAAAGAACAGTTCTTATCAGCAAGCAAGGACTGCACGTACACCCAAGTTAGAAATCAGAAATCTGCCCTAACCCATTAACTCCACTTACCTTCTCTGTGCTTCCATCTCATCTGGGGAGGGACCATTCTGAACCTGGCGCTGGGCAGCTGGACCTAGAGAAAACCAACAGAACACAATTTAGGAAAGCAAGTCTAACATCAGCATTGCTGAGTTTTCCCAGAAACACTCTCATTCAAACTAATTGCTCCCATTCAAACTAATTGCTTCTCCGTTTACTATGAGAAAAAAAAAACGGAAGCATTATATTTTCATTTTGCTTTTTTTTTTCCCATTTATTATTTCCTATTGGTCAACCTACCACCTCAGGAAAATTTTTAATCTCATTGAGAGAAACCAATGGCAGAGCAGATCTCTCCAGGAAACTCAGGTAGCCGTAGACCATGTAATCATCCCTTGGCAAGGGTGCAATCCCAGAGCATCCCAAGGGCTGTCCTATGGGAGAAGGGGCTGCCCCATGCAGCTTTAGCCTCGGCAGCACTCGGAGCAGCCTGGTCCAGATGATTCTGTGTCTGTAAGGTAGTTCAGTCCGAGGCCAGCGGGTTTGACACAACCACAGCTCACTGGGGATGTTCTGGAAAACCATGGAGGGGGCGAGGAAGGAAGCACATCTCCCTCTGCCTCCCTGTCAAGCCCTGCCAGCCCCTGCCATATATTGCAGACGTATCTGCAAGTAACACGTGTTCTCTTGTGTCTCTACATCTACTTGTTACATATCGCAGTGAACAGTCTTCTGAATGAAATAATTTTAGGAATTAGGGACTTACTCTTCCCTCTTACGCTAACAAATGTCATCATAATAAACTTTAGCAACATTCACTCCTGCCTATGATTTGACTACATGAAAACTTCCCTTGTATAATGCTTCAGAATATCCTACAGAAGTCTGCACGCTCCTTGGAAAGACAAATAAAAGTGTGCACCAGCACAACAAAGCCAGAGGATGAGGCAACAGAAACAGCAATTCTCCTTTGACAATAATTCATGTCAAAGTCTAATGGAGGCTCTAGTGGCTCCATCTTCACCTGGTACTTTGGTGTGAACCTTTTCTTGTGGTGAAACACCTGGAAAAACACAGTGGTGGGGCCAATCTGACTGATGCTAGAAATGCAGAAGGAAGCTAGAATCAGCAACTACCAACACCACACTAAAACCAGACTGTTTTCTTGTACGCACTGTTACGAGCTGGTAACAGGTTTAAAATAAAGCAGATCAAAATCAATCAATTTGGAAAGCCGCCTGAAGAAATGCTTTTTTGGGGCAAGGTTTCAGAATATCTGCAAGCTGCTTTTTATCACCTGGAGCCTTTTCAAGTCATCTCACACCTGCACCACAGGCATGTAAGTGAGAATAAGGATATTAATCCCTAAACAATACCAGGCAAATTTTCAGTACCAAGAATGCCCAATAAAGTAAATGAATTTACTTATATTTTCTGTTAAGTATATGCTGGCAGGATAAGACCACATTGAAGCATAACTCTTTTTTTTTTGGTTGCAAAATATGGTTTAAAAATTCCCGTGGTTCAGCAAATATCTGATATATTCCTAGGGCAGGCCACAAATCAATTCAGACAAGGCTGCTTGATTTTTTTTCCCCCACTGCATTCAGGTAACTTGATTTCACTCCCTTATTCTGTGATGAGCTCCATGCATTAATAGTCCCCCTTTTTCACATTAAGAATTTTAGCCAACTGTTCTAGTTTGCAGTTATTTTGTTGTTCTTATTATTTGCTCATAGTGTGAAATATCCTTAAAATGAAGCACATTAAACTCCTAATTATGTTTTGAAATTGCAAAATTTGCCATAGTTTCTATAGAAATGCTTTTCTCTTTTGACACAGAAAAGCAAGAGAAATAAGATCAAAAGGAAAGAAAATACCTTAGACTTGAATGAGTCTCCATATTCAAAACCTCTTTGCAGTAGTGACAAATTTGCAACTTTTTTCACACTCATTCAAAAAGCCAGACAATTTTTCAGATGCACAAAGAACATTATTGCATGGCCCTCCAAAATCCTTAACTCTCTTGGAGATCTTGGCAATTAGTCTTTTGTATGCAATGCCTAGATCTTTTCTTTTACATGTTTGGACTTTTTATGTAAATCACCAACCAAGATGCACACAAAACTTCAGACAGAAAATCACCATTCATTCCTTTAAATCTTTTCCAAAACATTTCTTCTTCAGTCCATTTATCGGTTGCTTCTCTTCCGTGCATTTCCTTTGTGCAGCACAATTTCCTTTTCAAAGTGCTTTAGAAGTGAATTACTCTAAAAATATAGTTGGGAGACAAAAAAAAAAAAAAAAAAAAAAAGGGAAGCATGAAGAGAACAGGAGGAGAGGAGGATGAAATTGTTTATTTATTGTTGAATAGGTCCTTGCCCTTTCTCCTCTCTAAAATGAGACGACCGCAGTAGTAGTGTAGTAAAATGTTGCCTGAGGAAAAGCAGTGAATCCACACACATAGACAAACTGCAGAGTCTGAGGGGAGTCATATGTAGAGTTGGCATAAGACAACTGGATTGTTCTAGGTAGTAACAGCTTTTCCTTACCTATGCCCTTACTTTTCTTGGCTACAGTGGGAAAAACACCAATTCCTTTTTCTACTTTTTTTTCCTAAGTTCCCCATGACCATAAGAAATAATTCCTTCTTACATTTTGCCTGTAATTTTATTCAAAACATTTTTTTTTCCTACAATAACATGAAATCTTTCTTTGCACACCCCAAGGAAGAAGGCTAGGTGCACCATGTTTTGTCAGCCAAGATATTGCCTGGCCAACTTAGAAGCCCAGTCCAAGCCTCCAGAGAGTACAGCTTGTTTATTATATGAAGCACAAATCCTCCTAGATCTTTCCTCCCTTTCGGACAGGGCATATTTGTAAACCAAGGCCCACAGCTATCTGATGAAAAGCCCACAAACAACTTTAAGCTCCATAATTGTGGAGTTTCATGCTTCTCTTGCCTCTGAACTTGCTTTTAGCATGCTCAGCAAAAGCTCAGATGAATACTGAGTGCAGGAACTACTTTTGAGCATGATTTCGTACCTGTATGTTCTGTAGCGCACGTACTGCACTACAGACAGAGATACTGCACTACAGACAGACATACACCCGCTTGATTGAGGCTTTTCTAAATTAAACTGGAGCTTTCTAGATTTAACTTCTCTGTGCATTTTTAGATATTTCTCAAACATGAGCAGACATGAACAGTAAGTGCTCTTGGTAATGGCATCCTCATTTAAACATGCTTCTCAAGTTGCACTGTGCCTTGCCTCCTAACATGACAGCTTTTGGGAACAGACATATAGAGAACAGAGCTACTGAATATAATAACCAGCAGAGACGTCTTTACCACTGACCTGCCTGCAATTTCTTGGCTGTTGCAATCTACATTTTTAGCAACTAATTAATGCGAGAGATATACTGTGAATGTCTGTGTTGCTTTGCAGTAATTAATTGCATTTTATATAAGCATCTTGTGATTCAGCTCGAGGCATATTTTGGGACCACATGGAGGTTTTCATGTTTGCTTTTCCTCCTCTCTCTTACCGGATACAGTTGGGAGGTGCCTAGATCAGTAAATCATCTGCTGCCCTCTTAGCACTTCCCTGTGCTGGCTGCTCCCACTCGGTGGCCATGGCCCTTGATGAGGCCGAGAAGCAGCAGCTCTGCCAGCAGCACAGGCACGGGCAAGCTGAGCGCCACCTCCATGTGCTCGACGTCCCAGCATCCGCTCTGTGGTGCCTTCCCCACTGCATGTTGCTGCTTCCTGCAGATATCTTCCCTTGGCCTCACTGCCAGTCTGTAAACGAGACCCTATCTGTCACTGAGGGAAAACTCAGGCTCCTGCTCCTGCTTGGGCTTAGCGGCATTGGGAAGGCATGAGCAAGAGGGAAAAACCCACAGTAAAATATGGCAGGACCCTACGGTCAGCCCTGCTTTCTTCACCATAACCTCTCCCTTCACCCATACAAGATCTGAGACGAGTGACTCCTTCTCCATGAGGAAGTTCCATCTCCATATGAGGAAGAACTTCTTTACTGTGGGGGTGACAGAGCACTGGAACAGGCTGCCCAGACAGGGTGCAGAGTCTCTTTCTCCGGAGATTTTCAAAACCTGCCTGATGGGACTCTGTGCTAAGTGCTTTAGGTGTGTCGCTGTTTGAGGGATGATCTCTAGAGGTTCCTTTCAATCTCAACCATTCTGTGATTCTGTGTAATATCTGCAGGCCGTGCTTGAATGGCCCCTGCGTGCCCATATGGACAGAAAGTGAGGGGGCTGTGGCTCCGCAACAGCAGGACCGAGGAACATCTCTGCTTTTCCTTGTGCCATTCGTTCCTGGTGCTCTGGCCTGGGTGTAATTTTAGCTGCTGTTGGGCAATCGCTGCTGCTGTGAGTCTGTCAGCACTTCCTGCATCTGGAGCCCACAGTGTCAGGGTGACACCAGGGCCAGGATCCACGACCCAGCCACGAGCCCAGGCGAGACCCATCCGGGCAGTCCGGAAACAGCCCAGAGATGCCAGAGGTGACCTGCCCTGCCATGGCAGAGCCAGCCCAGGGCTGCCACGCTGCGCTCAAACTCATTAGCAGAGATGATTAGCCCAGACAAAGCGCCGAGTTAATTAGCCTAGATAATGCGTGTTGATAAAGCAGTGTGTCTACATGGCTAGCAGGAGCCGAGCCGGGCCACGCAGCGTTGAATGACACAGTGGCACTAAGTGTCTGTGCTGTCTCCCGCGCGCAGAGGGAGGGCCGGGCTCGCCGGGCCTGGCTGCCCTGTGCACCCACAAGGTCCCCACATGGGCCAGGGCCTTGGGCCCGACCGGCGGCAACACCACTCAAGCGCCAGGTACACGGTGAAGAGTGTCCACGAGCATTCAGCCGCATGGAAGAGAGCATTTTGGTGCCTCATGTTAAACACTTTTTAGTGCCTTTTTTTTAAGGGTTTTGTTGCAAACACGCAGCAGACAATCCCCTGTAAGGGCCCTGTCTGGTCATTCGAATCTCAGTAAGCAGAAGTGCCTGGGCAGGAGAAGGGGCACCCACAGAGCATTTCCCTGCAGCCCCACAAAGTCTGCGTTTGTGTGGTGCTTT